AAAATAAATTATGATACCAATGTAAACAACTAAATATTATTTTCTTAGAAGTGTAAAAGGTTTTCTTCATTTATATAAGATGAAAACTATTTAATTTAATTACACAGGTAAAAAACAAAAATTTTATAATATACTCAAGTTTGAATTTTTTCTTCTGTTATCTAAGTGTGCCTAGAAAAAAAAAATTATATATTTCTTTAATTATAAGAAAATAAGAAAAAAAAATTACTTGAATAATAGTTGCAAATTGTGGTCTTCGAAGTAGATTATAAACAGTTACTAACAATTGTTTGCAAATACGATGAAGTTCAGAATTTCCATCACAAAATATATCAATTCCTAACTCTAGTCCTGTACCAAAGTCACATTCATCATTGGCTATATTTGCATAAGTTATTATGGGTTGTAATTTATCCATTTCTGCAACTTTTTTACTTTTAGAAGCTTCACGATATGATTTTAAAATTTTACGTAATACACCTTTAAATCAAAATATTTTTTAAAAATGATATATAGAAATGATACTATGTTTGAACCTTACTGTCTGATTCTGATAAGGGTCTATAACCAATATCTGTTTTTCGATCATATGGTACATATATTCCAGCTTTATGAAAAGTTTTAGCTACTGCAGTACCTTGTCTACCTTTCAAATATTTTTTTACTTTTCTTTTTTCAAAAGCATGTAGTTTTTTTTGTAAAGCATATGCTACTTGACCTTCCATATTATGAAGATACTTTCTAATTGAATTATTAAAACAAATTACAAGTGTATCTATACTAGTAATTGAAACTATTATACATCATAAAAACGGTAGCACAGTGGAGTCGTGGGGTAGTGGGACAAGTATAGATGGTCTGACAGTGATCAAAATCACTATCATAAGAAACACTTCGATGCAAATTTGTAGTGTTTAATTTTAAGAAATTGGTGAATAATTCCAAAAGCAAATTAATTCCTATTTTCTTTATTATTCCTAATTAGTAGTTTTTTGATTTAGAAGTATATAGAAAGTAGGTCGTCAGAAAATGTTTTTTTTTTAATTTATAGTACGTAACATAAGCTATAATTTGACATATGTTTTAAGAACGCAGTAATACTGGAACATTTATAAAACTTAAGTTGAAAAAGTTGACTTTTGTAAAAAGTTGCTATTTTGAATCCCTCCGTGATTAGATAATTATAAAATTTATATCAAATGAAAAGAAAATATCTAAGTTTTCAATAAAAAAAAAAAATTGTTATTTAGTTATTTTTCAATAAATTATGGCAATTTTTAGAAAATAAATGTCGAAATTTACCGATTTTAAAAATTATAATTTTTTTGGGGGATTTCTACCGTTTACGGGGAACAATTGATGAATAATTCCAAAAGCAACATCAACTTCTATTTCTTTAATTATATCCCGATTAGTAGTTTTTTATTTATAAGTGTAATATATGAATACATATTTATGATAACAATTATATAAATAGTATAAAATTGATATTCAATATCGTATTTTTACGCAGAAATTGTAAAAAATTGAAATATCAACCTAATTTTTTGGTCCCTTTAAAATGATTTTTATAAAATTGACACCATTAAATATGATATTTTATGTGACTTAAAAAAATGGAACTATTAAGATAACTATTTACAGTAAATTTATGATAAAAGCTAAAAATTTCGTTAAAATCACCATTTTTATGCATTTTTTTTCGTAGTAAATCATTTTAATAGAAATCATAATTATCATTTCTATATAAATCTTAGTATTATAATTCTTGGTTTTATAAATAAAATCTTTATTATATCCTGATTAGTAGTTCTTAGATTTCAAAGTGTAATATATGAATAAATACTAATTAAATTTAGTATGAAATTGATATTCAATATTTTAAAATTGTAATTTTTACGGAGAAATACTAAAAAATTATAAAGTATATTTTGTTTCTTCAATTGTAAACGTGTATAAAAATTGATAAGGCTTGATGCAATACTATAAAATAAAAATAATTATATTACTATGAATAAATACACTGGTTTACAAGGAACTTTCAACAGAATCAAAAATATGTTATTCTAAATAAACTTTTTGCACTTTTTTCAAATCTGCAATTAGACTTATTCTATCAATTTTAAGTTTAGATATTATAACTAATTATTAAAAAATTAATATTTACTTATAAAAGAATAATTAAAACAACATTTTTTGAATTGTTACTGATTTTGATTTTTAATATATTAAAAATAATCAGTGCAAAATAACATTTTACACCTATTTTTTTGGTTCTTTTAAGTTAATTTTTTTGTAAGTTAATAATAAAAAAGTTGGATTTGTTATCATGACATTTAGCTTAACTTGCAAGTTTGAAATTACATTATTAAATAGAAAATTTTATGAGAATTAAAAAAATATTTTTAAGATTAATATACAGACAGTAAATTTTATAAATACTACTTAAAGTAAATTTATAAGAAAACTACAATATATTTTTGCATTTTTATAGAATAAATCACTTAAATAGAAATAAATTTATAATTTTATTAATATATATTTTAGCTTACACTTTACTTTTAAAAAAAGGTATAAGTTTTTAAGATAAGTGAATACTTTTTTTCTACTTATAATATACATAAATATCAGCCAAACTACATAAAATTTTTTGTTTACAAATTTTGAAGCTTAATTAAGACCTACTAGATATATACCATATAATGATGCTAATTATGATATCTACACTATCAATTTTTGAAACTAAAAAATTTGTATTCTGCAGTAAAAATCAAACTATTATGATATACTAACCATAATATTTGATCAAAAAATCGAATAACAGAGGCTGTTTTTTGGAGTATTTTTGGTCAAAATACTAAAAACACATTAATCGACCAGTAAAAATTTGTTTAAAGACCTCAAATCTTTACTAAATACCTATTTTAATGTATATAATAAAGTTAAAATGTTTCTGATTAAAATTTCAAAGATCAATTTTTTTTGATCCACCTTAATATATATATATATTTATATTTATACATGTAAATACAGTTTCTCATCTTTTAAATTAAATTTGAAATTTTGATGTGCTGTATATTGCTCTCCCTGTTGTAATTATATTAGTGATTGAGTTTAAAATGAATGGAATAAAATTTAAAAAATGATGTGAAGAAAAGGATTTTTTTGTCTAAAAAACTTCTAAAATAAAATTTGTTTTAATATACAGGATAATTGGTTTATTATAAACCACTTGATTATTCGCAAAATAAATACAACATTAGAAAAATAATTTTTTAATCTTCTTATTACTTATATCCCTATATTCACTCTATTCAAGAACTTATGCATGTTTTCCCATTAATTTATTTCAATCTGCTGGTAATACGTTATCTTTTAACAATTTATTTACAAGTTAGCTAGTTTAATATTTTTGTTGTTGTTTCCTTATTAAAATATTAATGTAATTTATATAGTAATGTAATATTGTTTTTGTAATTGTAAATTTAATAATTTGTATATCTTTTTGTTTTTATTCTATTAGTTAAATCAATAATTATTTATTTATTTATTAAAGATAAATGGTCATGAGCCCAGGTTATCATTTACAGTGTAATATATAAGAAAAACAACATATAACAAAATAGGTTAAGAAGTACATAATTTTATTGAAGGAATGACGGATCCTCATTGGCTAATTTCATCATAAGGTTGATTGGCTCGTTTATTAAATAATTATTAGGACAATGTGGAATAAAGAAAGTATGTGAGTTGCGAGTGTACCTTACAGGAACTTTTAAGTTAATTTTAGCAAGGGAAGGGGAGTCGATAGAGCCTGATAAGTGATATAAGTTATTAAGGAAAGTAAGATTTTAAGAACGGCGGCGGTCAGCTAGGTTAAGAAGAAAAAGAAGGGGAGAATAATCATGAGGGACACAGTTTACGTTCAAGGTATGTTTCATAAAGGAAAGAAATTTACGTTGAGCCCTTTCAAGTTGTAAACAGACATCAGCTGTTTGAGGATCCCAAACAACTGAGCCATATTCCAGAATTGGTCGTACAAGCGCACAGTTGATAGATGTAAGAGACCTGGTGACCTTAAACTCATTAGATATCCTTTTGACAAAACCCAGTACCTTAAGAGCTTTGCATGTAATTTTATCAATATGAGCTTGTGAACTTAAGGAGGGAGTAAAAAATTATACATCATTGTTACCATTATATTTAATTTGTAATGTGTTGGATTTAGCTCTGTTAATAAATAAATAAAAACATAGGTGATTGTTTTAATAGCTAATCTTATCCATCAGATTTCTCTTAATATAATAATTATGTTATGAAAATCCTTTTTAAAATGACATTACTAAATTATTAAATGTCAATTTGATACTAAAGTTATTTATTATAATAAGTACTTATTCTTGTATTATATTTATAAATCATATAAATTGTAATCAGGATATAAATATGATTCATATTACTTTTGGAATATATCAATAACTCTTTCTAAAAATTAAATACTATTCACAGATTTGCAACGAAATATTATTTATGATATTGATTTTAATCACTGTCAGATATATATACTTGTTCCCATTGTGCTAGATTTTTTTAGTAAGCCTTTTTATAAAAAAATATTTAAATTCATTTTTCTTACTGTAAATATCATTATTGTTGGTATAAATAATAAAAACTGAAAAACTGTCTTTACTGAACAGAATAAAATATTGTAAGCTTATAGTAATAACTCACTACTAATTAGATTAAAATGTTCTTTTTAATGGTAACATAAAAAAAAAAAAAAAATTATTTTATAATTTACAAAGAAAATTAAAATTTGAAATCTAGTTTTTTTTTTTTTGAAACTGTCTTTTTTGGATTTTTTTCTATTTTGAAAACATTATTTTTATGAAAGATTCAAAAAACTAAAACACCATTTTCTGTAAATCTCAATTTTTTTAAGAACAAGTGAGTTCTTTTTTTATTCAATTAATTTACTAAAAATATAATTATACCTTAAAGCTTGAAATAAACTATGTCCAAGGTTTTGTATAACACAATTTTTTTCAGCATCATTGGAAGCAACAAAAACAGGCATTGCTAATGGTTCATCTCTAAAATAACCAATATGATACTGGGAACTATTAACACTTGTGATTATAGTCTGAAAAAATTATTGAAATGATTTCATAGGTAATAGTAAAATCATATATCAATTGATGTGTCATAAGATATATGAGACACTATATAATAATGTTACGATTCACAAAAATTGTCCTCCAAATTTTAAGAAGAAATTAAATTTGGTAAACATTATCTTAATATCACATATGAAACTTTACCACTGATGAAATTAACATATTAAAATTGACATGAATAATTAAAATACTTACTTGAAATTCTGGAGGATCATAATAATATCGCCAATGTAAGACAGCATTTTCATTATTATTACTATTAAATTCATTGAAATGGCCAGCTAAAACATCATAAGGTCCAACCAACTTTAAACCAACTGATAAAAATGCATCTAAACATTTAAATGTTAAATTTAATTATTTATTATGAAATTTTGTAAATAATTATACAAACATTTTTATACCTTCAGGATGTGTAGAATTTTGTCTTTTACAAAATGACCAGAGATCATAAAATTCTTCAGGCATATCACCTACTAGGAATAACTTAGATATTTGTTTATTCCAATAAGCAGGATTAAACACCATTCCAGGTATCATAATTCGTTCAGACGTAACTGACTGTTCACTATCATTAGAATCTTAAACAAATGATAGAAATAAGTAAAAGGTAGAGTGGATATAAATTAGACATATTATTTTTAGTTAAATTCTAAAAAAGTTAGCACTTATATATCGTTGGATAAACTTCAACACCTCATATTTAAATTTTTCAGGAGAGTTAAAAAACTACTTAATATTTTTAGTTAACTGAGATAATTTCAGTTTTAGAAGGGAAATAATAGTTTTATGAAAATAACATTTAATGTCAGAAATGAGCATAATTAAGTTTATATATTTTAATGCAAAATGTCATTTTTATCATAAAATTAGATAAGAGGTATTGAGATATGAGTATTACTTAATGAAATGCTTGTTTTATATTTACTAACATAACTAAAATTAAATCTTGATTTAAACTTAAAAACAATTATAAAAAATTGATTTTTAAATATAACATTTTACCAAAACTAAATATATTCCCATTTAATTTACATCAATTTTTTATTTAGATAAAAACTAGTAAATTAGCTATTATGTAAATAAGAAAAATCTTTTTAAGGTATAAAATTACAAAAGATTTTTGATAATTTTCTCAATTGGTATTATTTTAATACATATTTTAGCTATATATAATACAAATCCAATTAATATTTTTAAATTCCTTAGATTTTATTTATATAATAAGTGTTTTCTTAATTAATACAAAGAAATTATACATTTATATAGTTAAAAAAAACTGATTTCCCAATTAGTGATGACTAAGACTAGTTGTCCTCCCAATCATAGTTTATCTTACCCTCAATTTTTTTAAATTTTTAATAAGTGTATTAAAAAAACCAGAATTTATGATAAAATATATTTACTTATAAAATTTAACAAGCTAGTAGAATAAACTAAATATTTGTAATTTCAATTAAAATAAGTTAACCTGTAGCCTGAGAGTTTTGACTAGTTCCATGAAAAGTGAATCTTTGTACTTGATTACTGGATGGTACATGAGGTGAGCTTACAGTTTCTCCATCTAAACGACGTGGTGTGTATAAAGTGGGTGTACTTGGTACAATACCATCATCAACCCCACTACATTCTTCTAGATTAGTATTAGTCTAAAAAAAATATAAAATTTTTTATACCAATTATTAGGTTATAAATAAGAAATACTACATAATTAAAACCTTTTTAGCTATGTAATGTAATTGATTTATTGATTTTTATTTGTAAGATTTTTTCTAAATAATAATTTAGAAAAATTTTTTTGGCTTATTTTAATAGTAATTGTTTCTCAATTTTTGAGTGGCTAAATATTTTTTAGGTGTTCCTCTTATCTTTTATAAAGGTATCCGTTTTTTTTTTTAATAAGATACACATTTAACTAGTTCTTAAAATAGGAAAACGATTTAACTAAAAAAATCACTAGTCGATAACAAATTTTAAATCTGTATTTTAAGAGTTATGAATATTTTTTTACTTGGGTAGGAGGAATATCATGACAAAAATAACATACAGCATTGCCAATCTACATTGAAAAATATTAATATGTAACATAATTGTAATACAAACCAATAATAATTGTTGTTGAGATCTGTATCTAACTGCATATGCATTTATTGGGTTATGTTCATTCAACTCATTTTGCATGTTGTCACTAGTACTAGTTGAAGTTGTATTAGAAGAGATTAAATTTGATTGTTCAGGAACTTCCATATCATTTTCATCTATTAAAAATTATTTATTTTTTTAAATATAAGTACTATTAAATAGTATTTTTTTACCATGCAAATTAATTTCATTGACATTACTAATAGAAGATGATTCTCCATTTTTTTTATTCAATTTAACATTACCACTAGAATCTCTTTTTTTGGAAGTTTTTTTACTTTGTACTTTAACATCATCCTGTTAAAAAACAATATTTTATTATTAAATTTATCTAAAAAAATGCATTAATCAATTACTTTTATCGGAGGATGTTTATATTTGTTTAAATGTTCTTTATTAGTTTGAAAACATTTTCTTCCATATTTACAGGGTTCTCGGGAATCCTTTTGATATTCAAAAAACTTTTCCATACTTGTTGCTTACAGAATATTAACATAAATTTCTGAGATTACCTTTTTTAAGAATTTATATTAATTAAATTGATACTAATGCAGTATCTAATTATGAAAATTAAAATGAGAATACAAGTAAATTATGTTTATATGTTAAGTATACTTTAAGTAATGTCTAATATTTATCTCTTCTTTGTAACAAGAATATTTTAAATATTGTAAATTTGGTATCAAAACATTAATGTTTATCATATCACTATTTAATATCATCTATTAATGATTGAAGTTAGCAATATTTAGTCGGGCTGCACAGATAGATAAGAGCATGACCTTATCTATATTCAAACAAAAAAGTCTAACATTTAACCTATTAGTTGTTTATTTGATCTATATTTATTTTAAAATGTACTACACTTGCCTTCGATTATTAGTTAATAATCAGGACTATAGACTTAGAGCAATTATAATCATCAAAATAATCGCTAAAAAACTTCGTTATAAGTACTTAAAAACTTTTTTCGGCTTCCAACAAAAGTCCAATCAACTTATCCCATTTTTTTTCGATCTGTCTGATTATTCCCGAAGGCTTCATTTCTTGCGAATCCATGATAAGCTTGTTAAAACTTGTCAAGTGATTTTCATAAAGCACAATGTATGAACGTAACAAAGACTTATTAAAAAACCATCTTGACGAGAAATAACAGAAAATAGCAAAACTTTGTTGAATTTTTACTGTATATATATAGATAGAATTTTTCTAGTTACTTAACAACAAACTTGTTAAAATTATAGTTCTTACATATTCAATTTAATATTCAGCTGATATACTTAATTAGTTTACATTCAAACAAGACATACTTTTTATATTTCGAGGTATCGTATTCTTATAAACTATTTGTCGGGATGATTAATACAATGATTTAATTGTAGTAAAAAATAAAATGTCTAAATTACAGCAACATATCATGTTTTGAAAGCATATTTTAATATAATTTACGAAATATTTAAAAGTTGCAGTGTATAACATAAATGTTTCTTGATTTTTAGCTTCGATGCGAAGTTGAGAAAGTATTGGTTTTACTATGATGTGTTTTTTTTTGTGTCTGTTACCACTTTTTCTCAGCTCTCACCGAACGGATTTCTTTCAACGATACGTCAAAAGATCACAAATAGTATCTAGTCAAAGACATTACCCTCAAAAATTGAAAAAAAATCACTCGTTCCTCGTAAATGGGGGAAACCAGAGGGGGATTTAAAATGACAATTTTTTCACAAAAAATTAACTTTTTCAACTTATTTTTTGAAACTGTTCCGGAAGGTCTGACACTTTTATATATATCTTAAATTAAAGTTAATGTAATATAATTTATCATGAAAAAAAAAAATTCGGACTTTATTTGGTCTTCACGGTGAAAATGACTACCAAATGATATTTTTGTGTGAAATTCTCGATTTTATTTTTTACATTTTTAATTTTATAATGCTATAACTTATTGAAAAGTGTATGAATCAACACAATTTTTTATGAGAAATAATATTTTTTAATAACCCCTTTTCATTCAGGATATTAATAAGGAAATAGGAGATCATGTAGCTTTTGGAATAATCCACCAATTTTTTAAAATTAAACACTATCTAAGGATATGCATCAAAGCGTTTTTTATGAGTGATTTTAATCACTGTCAGATATCAATATACTTGATCCAACTATACACGTCACCACTGTGCCGTGACTCCCCTGTGCTAGGTTTTTTAAGAATAACGATTACTATTTAAATATTTTACATATAGTTTTTCTATAATTATAATAATTTTAATACAGATTAAAAAAAAATGTATATATCAACAGAAATACATTTCACCGCGATATATCACTATATTGATATCATATAGGCTTTATTGACAAATTAGTCTAGTGTTTTTGTATGGTCTAGTGGTCTAGTTTCTACAAGTTACAGTTTTACCTTTAATTTTTATACATATATAATTAAAATAATATTTTTAACAATTTATTCAATAATTTTTTCTTATATTCATATGAAATATTATATATAAATCTAATGAGTCTACTGAGTGTTATTATTTATTTAAACTACCTGTCTTTACAGCTTCAACCAGAGGCAATACTTCCAAGGGTTCTCAGGACTGAGCTCGAGAACAAAAAAATAAATAAATTACTTGCTGCGGGTCAAATTAATTGAATTTAAAGATAAAAAGTTTTATGAAAAAAAAATGAAATTTTGTTTGTTTATTTTATCCAATCAGACAAAACCCTATAAATCCATAGTAAAAATAACCGTTAATGAGTCTCAGCATGAAATCAACGCTTTATGGCTATAAAATATATTTTAGTATTTTCTGTCGAGTATTATTAAAAATCTATAAGATATCTTTTTAAGGCCGTGGAACCAGTGCCATAAGAGCCATACGTGCTGCACTCAGAACAAAAACGTTCCATGCTTTAATGAAATTGAATCATTGTTATTAAGCTTAGCGTTTTACTTAGTAATAACGCTGAAATGAATTAAAATAACAATTATTCTTTTAAAATAAAACCACACTCAATAAATTTAAAGATTTTTATAATGACAATTTAAAGATACCGTAATCTAATCAATAAAATATAAATATTTTAAACAAAGGAGTCCATTATTTGTTTTATGCACACAATTTATTTGAATGTAATAAAAATAGATTTCTTTTAAAGTATAGGGTATTTGATATAACAAAAAAGTTCTACGCTTCTATCATAGAGAATCTTTATTAACACGCTTATATTAGTTTCACGTGTATGTTGTTTGTTTGTTGTTTGTTGTTTGTCGTTTGTAAGTTTGTAACTCCACGCGGCACGTGTTATTATGTCGCGTATGACCTTGAGACTATACTGTTGTAACGCATTCGCCCCACCCCGCTCACCTCTCGTAGAGAACAATATTTTCCAACCCGTAGACGCGCGCTTATCATCAATTATATATATATATATATAACAAATTTTTATTGTAATTGACACAGCCCCGCGTCGTTTTACGCCACGGTTCAAAGTAGTGATGGTAAACTGCTATTTTTTTTTTAACATCTGCTAATGCTATTGCTATTTTAAAATAGCAGTAAAAAGTAGTAGCTATTGCTATTTCGTAAAAAAAAGCTCGTAGCATAATGCTTATCATTAATTTTTAGTTATTAGCAGCTAATGTTTATAGTAATTAGCAATAACACCGTAGAAATCATTATTTTCGTTAAGGCCAGGGGCTCAAGGCATTGATGGCGGGCAGTATGATGTATAATTTATTCAACTGGCGTATGATACTATGATATTCAACGGTTCTAATATTACATTAATATATATTCATAATGTTTAAGCCACGTTAATGTGAACTGTGAAGGTGAACCATTCGACATAAACATATTAATAATTGTAGACTGAAAAATAATGTGAACTTCAATTAACAATCATATTTATGGGCTTTATTTCAAAAATATTTTTTCTAAATGATTAAAACAGACATTAGAATTTGTACTATTTAACATGAGTATAATAAAAACCCATCACAGGGGGGTCGCGGCAAAGTGGTGACGTGGCATAGTTGGATCAAGTATAATGATATCTGACAATGATTAAAATCACTATCAAAAAAAAAAACGCTTCGATGCAAATCTTTAGATAGTGTTTAATTTTAAAAAATTGGTGGATTATTTCAAAAGCTTCATAAACTGCTAGTTCCTTATTAATATCCTGATTAAGATAAAGTATGTCGAATGAAAAAGGGATTATTAAAAAATAGTATTTCCCATAAAAAAATTATATTGATCAATACACTTTTCAATAAGTTATAGCATTATAATGTTAAAAATGTAAAAAATAAAATTGAGAATTTTCACACAATAATAGCATTTGGTAGCCATTTTCACCGTGAAGACAAAATAAAGTCCGAAATTTTTTTTTTCCATAATAAAGTATATTACATTAGCTTTAATTTAAGATATATATAAAAGTGTCAGACTTTCCGGAACATTTTCAAAATTTAAGTTGAAAAAGTCAATTTTTTGTGAAAAAGTTGTCATTTTGAATCCCCCCCTGTAGGCAGGTAAAAAGTCAGATTTATAAAAAAAATATACCAAATGATAGGTAAAGACATCATGCATCTACAAAAAAAAGAATTATATTGATCCATACATCTTTCGAGAAGTTATAGCATTATAAAGTTAAAAATATAAAAAAGAATTTTTTTACAAAAATCGTATTTTTTTTATTAAGTTTAATGTCTGTTTTCACCATGAAGATAAAATAAAGTCCGAAATTTTTTTTTACCATTATAAAGTATATTACATTAGCTTTAATTTAAGATATATATAAAAGTGTCAGACCTTCCGGAACACTTTCAAAAGTTAAGTTGCAAAAGTTCTACTTTCTATATGCATTTTTATGTTTTGAATCCCCCCTGTATTAAGGAATATGGTCCGATTTTAAAAAAAAGTATGTCGAATGAAAGAACTATATAAATACTACTTCTCATAAAAAAATTGTAATGATCCATACATTTTTCAAAAAGTTATAACATAATAAAGTTAAAAATGGAAAATACAAAATCGAAAATTTTCACACAAAAATAGCATTCGGTAGCCATTTTCACCATGAAGATAAGATAAAGTCCGAAATTNAGTAGCAATTTTCACCGTGAAGATAGAATAAAGTCCAAAATTTTCTTTTTTTATGATAAAGTATAATACATTAGCTTTAATTTAAGATATATATAAAAGTGTCAGACCTTCCGGAACATTTTCAAAAATCAAGTTGAAAAAATTAATTTTTTGTGAAAAAGTTGTCATTTTAAATCCCCCCTTGTGGGCAGGTTAAGGGTTAAATTTATGAAAAAAATATACCAAATGAAAGGTAATGATATTATGCATCTATATAAAAAAGAATTATATTGATATGTT